CGTTAAACGTACTCGTATCTAATTATCAGTCAGCGCTCGATAAAAATGTATAACAGGCACCACGTTTCGTTATGAAACAGCTCGGACGTTCGCGGGGGACTATCGTGTCGCTGAATTATTAACCCGTTATACCTAAACGGAAATGCATCGTATACCGCGTGCGCGCGTATCGCAATAGCGGGTACATGTGTCCGCTCTCTCGAGCGACGTTTCGTTATTCCCGCGCAGCACGGCTACATTAAAAGACACGACAGTTTACGACGGTATCCCGATAGCGGAGATAACGATCGCCGCGTACGCCGAAGTATCGGCGCTTTTGTTCCCACGGTTTTCGCGACGTATACAAATTATCGGGCGTTCCGGGGCGCGTAAACGGGGAAATAGAGCGGGGGCTGCCCCCCCGCCCCCCTCGACCCTCCCGATCGCGTTACGGGGTCTACTTATAATGTACGTGGAGCACGTAAAACGAGAAAAAGAAAGAGAGAAAGGGACGGGAAGAGAGAGAGAGAGAGGGGCCATTTCACCGTAACATTGTGCATTGCGTCTGTCCGGTCCTTCAATCGGCGCCGCCGAAATTCCGAACTGGACTGCCCAAATCGCCTCCGTGTCAAGGGTCAAACTACCGTAATGGTAGAGCGGCGTCAAAGCCGCGTATCCCCTCTCTCTCTCGGATTTGCATCCAATTTCAGGGATGCATTCGCCGACGAATGCGGACCTATTTGTTTAGCGGCTCTTAAATTTCCCGGGAGAAAGGTTTGCTTCAAATTACCCGAAAGATTAACGCGTTGCCTGACCCGCCGAAGCTACAGTCAACGGTGTAATTTCATTGTACGTACCAAGGTAATCCGGCAATTATATTTTTAATACAACTTGTAAACTTAGAGAAAAAGAGAGAGATACCAATGCTGAAGTTAGTAGCCAAGTTTTTCTCCCTGGTCGAGAGCTGCTCTCCTCGTAATTGCAGGAAAATAATTAGTGGCATTTTCTGATCGGCAATCACTAATATTATATATGTTTATCGATGCAACGTGCAATCATAGAGTGCAATCATAGAGTATGTTGAACATGACATTTAATTATAAATTAATACTTGCATTACGCTCCGTGCCAGAGAATATGTGTCAAATATCTATTATATTATATTACAAACTAATGTCCGACCATGTAATGATCCAGGCATGACGGTACCTTTTCGCAAAGGTTAAATAAGGAGTTGGCGCAATCGCGATTAAAGCGTGCCGTTTCGATAAAAGTGTCATCGATCAAGCTCTCACAATTTTTAACTTGTAATTACATACCCGAGATCATTTTAACACTACAGTGTGCGTAGACGTTGCGTGTTGAAAAACCGGGCTTCTCGTTCGTCATAAATAAATCTCGTAGAGAGAATAGAGTCGCTAAGCCTACCGCGCGAGATTTTCTATTTGCGAAACACCTATTAAAGTCGACACGTAATACCGCGCTGCGCATCATTATGCGCTTCATACATCTCCCCGTCGCACATTTATCTCTCTCTCGCCTTCAGCTGCCTTTTTCCCCCATAATTTTCACTTTATCGTCGCTCTCGGATACTTTTCTCGGTCCAGGACAGAGAGTGGTGGGGGGGGGGGGGAGGAGGAAGGAGGGGTCGGAATTTATAGCTCTATCGCCCTCATATTCGCTTATGATGCGAGCCAAGGATTTTGTATACAGCGGATGTGGATTGAATTAAAATAGCACTTGGAGCGGCGCTCGATACGCAGAATCGACGTACGCCGGATGGAAATATTGAAAATTCGAATGCAATTAAAAACGCGACGTAACGAGATTAGTATCTCGGATGNGGAAATCGATATGCTCGCCCACCCCCCCCCCCTCGGTCAATCGTAGCAAATCGTTCGCGATTGATTTGCATACACGTCCGTTCCCTTTCCTCTCTTCTAAAACTTTAGCCCCCCGAGGCTTTGCCCGCCCGCCGCGAATACTTCTCGACGTCGTCGACTTCATCGTTTGCGAGGCACGCATACGCGTCCGTTAAGTCGACGTAATACCGCGGGGCGCATCATTATGTACTCCATAAGTCTCCGTGGCTCCCCTCCCCCCCCTCCTCTCTCTCTCTCTCTTGCGAGAAGGAAGAGGAGCAGGAAAAAAGAAACGCGGAGAACGTGGGGACCGAAGGGAACCGAGAAGGTTCCCGCGCAGGAAGATGACGGAGAGGGAGACGGAGGGTCAAGAGGGGGGAGGGCTCTCCCTCAACCCTCCTCGCGCTCGCGATACCCGGATACACTCGCTGCCGGGCCCTACACCATCCCTACCCTCGAGTCCGTGTTGGGTCCGTGGTCTTTGCGCCGGGGAAACGAAAGAGGTGGGTGGGAGGAGGGAAGGCAGAGAGGCCGTGCACCGTCTCCTCAACGCGACGTTCACCGGCGGAGCGAGGGGCCTCCGCGGCGGGGCACGGGCGGGATGGGGCGAAGCGGCGGTACGGCGGGGCGGGGGGGTTGCCGGTAAGTAAAGGGGTCTCGCTTTTTCGCTCAGGGTCAGAATCGTACATCACTCGCGCGGGCGCTGTGCAATACGGACTGACGATCGGCCGGGTTTCTGCGCGCGAGCGTGGAGCCCGCGCTCGCGCAATGAGAGCATAATTTTCTATTCGCGTACCGTAGAGACGGCACACACGCTCTACACCGGTAATGAGACGATTGGTGACGGATTTATCGATCTTCGATTTATCTCCTCCCTTACCCCCCCCTCCCTCTCTCTCTCTATCTCTGGCCCCGTTCCTCTTCTCTCACACCGTTCTCCGACCCGTAAACGCTCTCGCTCCCGGGCTTCTTCGGCGAATTCAGCGCGTTGTCGACGTGATAATCGTGCGCCTCGTTTCAACCTTTAATTAAGGATTAGATATGTATGTAGAACTCGACGATTGATTAATTATAGCGAATTCGGTTGCTTGCACTAGAGACCCTGTAATCAGAGACTGGCCATAAGAGTTCGTCAAATTCCTGCGAGCGAGAGAGAAACGTCATAGGCTATCTCACTCTTCCACAATTCTACGATCGTAGAAGAGTCAGGGTCTCTAGTTTGCACTAGTGCGCACCGAGTGCACACTAAGGCCTGTTTACAGTCGATTCTTATATTTAAGGATCGTCTCTTGTAATATTTAATCAGTAAAACGATCTGTATAGCATCCATACGGATCATTTTTTGGCTAGATACTCTTTGATCATGTGTATAAGACAAAGTTAACTATAAAAATTTACTATAAATAGGCCTTAGTGTGCACCGAGTGCGCACTGGTGCGAGCAGTCGAATTCGCTATTAATCAATGATTGCATTTTGTTGATTTTATCCCGTGTATCGTACACTCGTATTATACACAATTCGCGTGAACCTGACGATCGCGAATTAAGAGAGATATCTGGAATCTCTTCGCGTCATCAAGCTGAATGATGTACGTAATTAGCCGTTGCCTTTCTCGCTGAATGATTCGTTATGGTCACGATGGACCAACAATAGCCTTGTATCATGGAACTGACGATTGCGAATTGAACGAAACATCTGAAATTTCTTTACGCCACGTGACCGAATGACAATCGGCTCGCTCTTCCCTGCGAAAGATCTCGTTAACGGTCATTACGATCCGACGGTAGCTTGAATGGAAAAGCCGATCGAATGAATGAGCGCGCATATCGCGCGGGAGATCCTCGTCGTCACTTACTGTTACGGGCGCTCCAGATTTAAGGGGTGGGAGAATGGCCGACGACGGCGATCCTGCCGGTGACCAATTTTGGAACGGCACGGTCACGTTTGGCAGTCCGGAAGCGATTACACTTTACGTATCGGTGACGCGACGCACGCGGAATTTCTATTATTCGCTCCTTTCGGGTGCCGAACTCGACTATCCGCAGCCATTTGCCCTTAACGTATTGGATTCACTGGAAAAGAAGTTTTCGCTGCCGTAGCTAATCGTGGCTTGCTAAAAATATTTTGCTGCCATGACTGTAAGTTTCTAAACCACAGCAAACGATTTGCTGTCTAATACAATAGGCACAGTAGCAAAATATTTAGTCACAACTAAATATTAGCTGTCCATATTTTACAACTGAAATTCAGTTGTCACATGCAGGTTTTAGCTACATGTTTCTTTCCGCGTAGCTAGTACGTTCTTTTACCATTCACTTAATTTAATCTACTCTCGAGTATTGTTACGGGACAGTCCCATAGAGTGTTTCATGTCCATTTCCACGATTGCAGATTATCTTCGATCTCGGTTTAACCTACCTTTTATCCTTTCCTAGTTTCTAGGAATTGAGAAAAGAGGAAAACTTGGTTAATCCGGGATTAAAGTTAATCCGCATTGATAGAAATGGGCGTAAATGAATCAACGACACGAAATCAAAACAATGGACGAATTTACACGGAAGGACCGGCTAAGGCAAAAATAACTAAACTTAAAACCAACTAATCAGAATTCGTCAATGTCGCCAGCGGTAATTAACAACGTCAGTGTTTTCTTGACCATACCTGGCATCTTTAATAATACAGAAAATTTATTGCATATAATATGCCTCGGTGGTCGAATTGGCGAGACGCCCGCCTAGAGTGCAGAGAGTTCCAGGCTCAAACCCTGGCTGAGGTAATAATTTTTCGCAATAAATTTTCTGTATCATTAAAGATGCCAGGTGTGGTCAAGAAAACACTGACGTTGTAAAATTAAAATGTTGCCGTATAAATAGTAGGGGTATCTAGTTATCTGCGTTGTTTTGTGTTGCAACATTCACTAAGTTTACTGCACAAAACGCATATAGTTGTCGCCACTACTTATCATACCAATGTAGGTATGACAACCAAATATTACTACTTATTGGGGTTGTGCCAACTCTAATTAGACATGTGGTAACCATATTGATCTCTCCGTGTATAAGCGATTAGTAAAATAATCAGTGCCGTAACGTTCGGTGAATACGGATTCGTAATACGACTGGTGGCTAATGCGTTGCGTTTTTTTATTTATTTCGCAGATCCGACGAGGATGATCCGAGTGGCTGTAAATATAGGAGACTGGACGATGACAATGTACAGGACAAAGAGAGATTTGCCAGGTGAGTGTTGCGCTTAATTCAGCGACTAACATTATAACAATATAACGACCTTGCATTACAATAATACGGCGACCTAATATTTCGCCGTCGAACAACCCACGTTTCCGCCGTTCGAACGTAATTTCGATCCATTTCGCAATTTCGCCGTGCCATTCTCAAGTCAACTAAACCCGATTACAATAATCAAGCTTTTCTAGTCGACATTAACCGGCCAGTGTTTTAATACAGAAAATGTATTGCGAAAATTATTACCTCAGCCGGGGTTTGAACCTGGACTTCCCTACTCTCTAGGCGGGCGTCTCACCAATTCGACCACTGAGGCATGTTACGTCGACTGAAAAGGCTTGATTATTGTCATTTATCACTGGCAAAGTGAAGAGATTTCTATGTTTAAACCCGATTACGTTAGCCGGATCGACGAAAGTTAATCTTCGAAGGCAATTCGCCTCTCTTTCTCTCTTCGGCGTTTGTTAATTCGCCTCACGAAACCGCGACTCGATATGTTTCACCGGTACACCCTGTACATACGCCTTCTTCTTCAAGTACGAGAAGGTACATACATACCTACATGATACCGGGCAATGTGAGGAGCCGATAGCGGAATGGGAAGCCCTCGAGGCTGCTCCAGCGTGGGAACATGAGGTACTTATACGCGCACCGGAGTGCGCGTCCTTCAAGTCCGTGTACAACGAAAGAGACACGGTACTTTGATTCCCTTCCGAGATATTTCGGCTGGCACGGGCATTAAATTCGCCGGACAAAAGCCGGAAAATAATGTACAACGTGAGACGCATAACTTACGTGTAAAATATGGCTGCTCCCCAGACGCCGTGAATAAAAAAAGATCTACGTCAAAATCTTCGAGGAATCCTCTACGTCGAGTGTATCAATTACGCGGGACGCGTCGCAGTTTCGTGTCTCTCCTCTTACGGATATTCTTCGATATACGTACATCTATTCGTCTTTAATTAATACTTTGTGACATTTGATTATTTAATATCGATCATTTAAAGAGAGCGAAGTTTCGATTTAATTTTTAATTTTAAATACTGAATACTTTCTAAGCGATTCGGTTGGCACGGAAACGAAAAATATCGTGGTTTTACTTGCTGCGTTCATTGGAAACGAAAATAAATCACGCCGACGTGATCGGGTAAGAACGATCGATCGCGATTGATTGACTTATCAATAGACAAAAGGCAAAAAGAGGATTGGGAGGTTGAGCCTACCGCGTGTAACATTGATCGGTCGTGACTCAGCCCCCTGCTTTGTGTAACGTGACTGTGTATGGCGTTACGTCTCTATTAAGCACCGGGCCCACGGTGCTTCCCTACCTGATATAATCGTGGTATAAGGCCAATCATAGGTAACGAGAAATATTATTGGAAAAACTGAGCATAAACGCGATTCCGTGCGAATGTAGCAATGCCAAGTAAGAACGTTCGTTCGTTATAAAAATTCTCATTGCCCTGTGATCCACGTCGTTGACATCTACAATTGGACAAAATAACGCGGTGAATAGTAAGTCGAGGGACATAAAATTATTTTGGTAGTGCGTAAAAAGGTGTTGGAGAATCGTTGATTGTGTCACATTTCTCTTCTCATTTTTCTTATATTATCTAGAGGCACTCGGTCTTTGACGCGTTTTTAATTCGCCTTTGTGTTCTTCGATGCGCACTACACATCTTCGCCGAATGCCCGAAGCTACTCGACGCACGTTGTAACATAGTTACATTCCTCTCACTGTTCTTCTGTAACCGAGATGCAATCATCTTTCGTTTCACTGAACGAGATTAGAACGCCGCATATCTCTATTTCTCTCTCGCTTTCTCCCTCTCTTTCTTGTTTTACGATTTTACTCGCCATTCGCAGTACATACTTGCGAAATGATAGTACGGAATTGCTCGCGAGCGTTCCTCGCGTTGCTCGATCTGGTTGTTTGTTCGTGGCAGAGGGTTAGCTAGGAATTTCTCATCTCGTTAATTTCATGCACGCGAGAAGAAATCGCATGGTCTACCCCAATTGGCGCCGTATTATGTTTATCTTCATCTACATCGTTTGTTACAACCGTTCCAGTGTCTAATTAAAGACCAAACGCACAGACGCGCACACCGTTCGAAACGTTTGTCGCGATTCGTGAAGTTCATTATTAAATTTTACCCCGTAGAAGAGAAAACCCCCCGTCACGTCGTCCGCCATAATACCCGGCCAATAAAATAGTTTAATTCCTGGCCAATCATCCGATTTGACTTTAGAAAGTCTCACTTCGGCCCGACCGATTTTGCCTCGCCGAAAAAAGGCGCTCTGTTATTTTTTAACGCCGGCCAATCTGAAGACCCACTGTCGATCCGCCATAATAGCAATAACGATATCTTATCCACGGTCTCTCATCGCGTGCCGCCACGGGTGGGTCCGTGGCGGTTCACCTGCAATTCCGTATCCGCGCTGTCGTTTCGCAGGTATATACGGTGCCGCGAAAGAATACGCGGGCTCCGCGGCAAAGACCGGCCGGCAACATTCTGATGTCGCGCGCTCCTTCTCTCTCCTCTTCGTCGCGCCCCTCTCCCTTTCTCGCCCCCGGTCCTCCCTCTCTCTTTCTCCCTCTGGAGAACCTCACTTTTAAGTTAATAACGCAATTACTGCCTCTCCTGCCGCAAGACGCGCGCGCCTCTCCTCTTGCCGTCTGCTCGTAAC